TTCAGTCTTTCCATCTTACTGCTAGAGCAGGAATGGCCCATTTGTAGCTACAGGGACTTAATTCAGTTATTGCGCGATCTTTATTTGCCAACAAAAATGTTGGTTGGTAGTGACCAGCTAAATCATGTCTGTTATTCTGTGTGTGTTGGCTGAGAAGAGTAGACCCAGTTTAGGTGTGAATTTTTAGTAGGTGAAGATGTAGTAATGTGTATTGTGGAATAAAAATAGCATTTTTGTTACTCCTCACATTTCCATGTAAGCTCAGTTTCTTTAGGAAAGACTCAATAAGTGTTCAGGATTTCTCTAATGTAGGGAAATGCTGTAGTCTGTTTCTGGTGTTGCTCAGTGATGAAGCATAGCTGCCTCTGTAGTAATAACTGTGAGTAAAGATTCTAGGCTTTTAATTTAGACAAGAAGAAAATAGTTCTATTAAGTTCCTTTAATTTCCTATAGTAAGTGATGGTTACTTCAAATTTGCTTACCTTAGATGAGCGGTGAAGGTTGGGCCTTGAATGTATCAAGTGTTTGTTAGTGATGCTTTTGTTCCAAGATGACTCTTGCCACCTGGAATCATAAGAAAAGAAAAACCTCTTCAGGATTTGTGTGGGGTGGGAAGGCAGCGCTTCTTCTGTTAAATTCTCATAATTTTAACTCCTCACCACAACTGTGTTTTTTGATGAGACTTGACACCTATATTATTCAGCCGCCAAACCAGTGTTAATGGCAGTGGTCAACTCTTGCTTTTGTTGTCTATGCAAAATACCTTTTTTCTCTGCTTCTGGTACCTTGATGCTTACACAGGAGGATGATGTAAAAGCAGAGTTTTATTGGCATGAGGGCTTGTCAGGCAGAGACCTGGAGGGCCAGATGACCTCAGTTGCAGGTCAGAAGTTAATATATTAATTACATTGGTTTAATGCTTCTCTTGACTTAAAAGTTTGTTGTCAGATTCTAAAACAGAACTAACCTGGTGCTTTATGGAAATCAGAGAAATAATCATTGACTTCTTTTGAAGTAGATGTTGTGTTGCTATTTGCAAGGCTGGTCTTTATTTGCAAGGCTGGATGGGGTCTTTAAAGTGGTTACCAATGTAAGAGTGATCCGTAGCTCTTGCTTTACAACTGGCATAACCACATTATTTGGTATTTTTCAGAAGTGTGAGTTTTATAACACATCAATTTTAACCTGTGCAGTTTAAATGCAGTTTACTTAAGCTGTTCCTCTTGGGGCTGAGTCAGTGATGAATAAGAGTACATGTTTTGTGTGATAATGCAGTCTTGAGCTATTTTTTTCTCAGTCTTCTAAGTTAAGTGTTGTATGAAATATTACTGGAAAAAGAAAGCAGCCCGTAAATCACAGGTTTTAATCAGTACACTGCACTGTTGTGCAGTAAAGGCTTTTTCACTGGGAAAAAAAATTGCAGTTCTATTATAAGAAATCAAGATAACACATTCAGTCATGTAAGACAATAACGGAAAGGCAGCTTCTACTACAACTGGTTTAAATTTCAGTGAAAGTAACACTGAGCAGTGATTTTAAATGAGGGTTAAAAATCACGTGGGTCATCTGACCTGGCCTTAGTTTGGAGTTGCAATGGCATAAGAGCACAGATACTTAAAACTAAGCCATTAGGAGTTAAGGCAAGACTGCAAATAAATAAAACATGAAGACTGATTTCTTTAGTGGCTAGAAGAGTACTCAAATGTTTGCACATGTGGTGGCTTATTCCCTTTTCCTTCAGCTGAGCCAAATCAGATGTTTGTGTGCCCATACATTAAAGTGGGTCAGTGCAATCTCTGTGGTTTAAAAGAACATTCAGCAAATATGGTGGCTGAGGGGTTTGAAACACTTTAAAACAAGCTTTCTGATGGAGAAATTATGTGAAAAATGCATGTTGAAATTACTTGAGCCCATCTCATTTATTTTCTAAAATTTGAATTGGGGGGGAGTTGGAAAGGACAATAGGAAAATATGATAATGCAAGAATAATTCTTTCAGAACCTGTATTTGATTTGTATGTGAACAACTTGAAGTATCAAATTCCAACTGGATCATTTGTGTAGACAAGAACTGGATGGTTCTGAAGACTTACTGTACGTGTCCAATAAACATTTGTTCTGTCTTGCAGGGCTATGGAAAAGCAGATCACTCAGTGACTGTAGAGATACTGAAGAAAGTGTATACAGACTATGAAATTACATGGTCAGATGACAAGAAATAAACTGTGAACACAATCAGCAGTTGAAAACTGGTAACTGTGAGCTGTACTTTGATTATAAATAAAAGTTCAATGTGTCTATGTATGTAGGCATAAATCTGGAGTAACTGGACTCTGCTGTAATTTATAATACTGTCGTTAATCCCCAGAGATACCTCATTTTTCATTCCTTTGTGCAGAATATGTAGTTCTAAGCGTTTTTCCTCTCCTTTTGATGTGCTGTCTAATTAAACACTTCCACATTATCTGACCTCCAGTTTGTTTTCATCCAGTCCTGTCTCACTGATATATTGTAGGATACATCAGGATTTTGCCATCAGCTTAAAACACCACAGGACCAAACCTGTTCTCTCGTCTTTTGACCACAGGTTTTTTTCAGTTTCCTTTATTTTTCTATTACTTTTTAGGCTTTTGATCTTATCCACATTAACAAAAATTGGTGTGGAGGGTGGGGTTGGCTGTTACATTTCTTCACCAATGATCTAAATCTTTGATTTACTCCATGGTTTTGAAAATCCAGTATTTGTGTTCCATAAAAGTAATGATCAATGTCTTTGTTCTGTGAGATCCTCCCTATAACAGACTGATGGCAATGTCAAATTCTGCCAATACTGCTTTCCTTCTGATTCCCCTATATCACTTTTATTCCCTGTGAGAATAATCATGCTTTTTTTCCAGCAATAATTGTTATAACCACCTCCTGGCAAACCCAGTACACCTGGACAGTGTGTGAATTAACTTACCTGCTTCCTGTTGTTGGCAGGATGTTGCCCTTTATTAGTTGTGAAAGGACTTGCTACAGATTTCACTTTTTTTGTTTCCTGCCAGTCTTCTTTTAATTCATTTGTGGATTTCAAGGGAATACATTGCTGACTTGCAGTCTTCAAGAGGTATTTGTGTATAAATTCTAGTTCTTCCCTTTGCTGTGGCTCCTATTGCACTTATCCACCAGTATCTGGTGGTATAGAGTAGCTTTTTCTTTTCAATTTCCATGTGACTCTTACAGTAAAAACTATGACATTTGAGAGGCTTTAGTCCAGTTTCTATCACAAATAAAAAAATCCTGCTGTTACTGCCTTGTTACACTAGTTATCCATCTTATGTCACCTTTCTGTGGCTTTGTTTTGGGTGAGCAGAGAGGAATTTCCTGTTCTTATCCTGAAAATGTTCAGTCCATTCCTCATTAGCAGAATTCCAGGTATCTCCACCCCAATAATCACCTTGGAGCAGGATCTCTTGAACCTGGTGCTGCACCACTTCAAATGATTGCATTAAGATTTTGATTTCAGAGCATGATTAAATGTCTGTGTGCCTTGTAACCAAGAATAGCATACAGGTCAGTAATTTGCAAATTGGGCACTTCCCACTTCCATTCTCATGGGTTTTTTCCCCCTAAGCTCTAGTAAAATAACTGTAATTGCCAGTATACAAAGCTGGGTTTTAAATAGCCTCATTTCCCAAAACTAGCCAATAGTCTTTAAAGGGAAGTCATCAGTAAGGATAGTACCCGTTAAAATAAACAAGCTTTTTAATTTAGTTTCCTGAGGTATTTAATGAGTGATTTTAATCTTTCTCTCCACAACACTTACGGGAAAGACCTAATTTAGACCGGATTTCTTATTGTAACGGCTTGTTCAAAAAGTGAGGGGATGGGATGAGGGGAGAAAAAGCAGGTATATTATGTTGAAACACCAACAGAACAATCAGCCTACAGAGCTAAGTGTTGAATCCTGCTTCTTGTCAGCATGTATCTGCTGAATTTTAAGACCAGAACTCATTTGGAATTACGGAAATCCCAATGCTAATTTTGCTGATTTCACCTGAGAAAAACATCCTTCATTATTTCCCATCTGTAATTCTGAAAGGGGAATTTAATTATACTATGTGGGGTTACCTGTTTTGCAGGTGTGCAGTCACTGAGACTATGGCTCTAGCAGTCTTCTGCTGAAGTCCTAAAACATCTGATGCTGTATTTGCACAAAAACAGAGCTATGTTTGAGCAAGATACTCAGTAAAAGTGTAGTATTTAAACCTAAGACAGCAAGTTTGATCATGGGATATTATCAAGAAGAAACATTTTAGTAGAAGATTGTAAGTACCTTCTTCCTTTATTCATCAGAAAATACTTGATATTCTTGTTCTTAACCATATTCTTTGTCATAGTGGTCAGCATTTCTTATTATTTCAGGTGTGGTTCTCTGACACAGCACCAGACCCAGCAGGTGTAGAACAACCTATTCAGTCCCTGCGTGCAAGCCATGATTTGTCTTTGTCAAAAAGGTTTGAAAAATTGTAAATCAGTTTGTTTCTAGCTTCCCTGTTTTAACAAAAACTGTTAACAGTAATTTCTTGATCTGCCAAAGCTAAAACTTTTGTTCCTCAGTTTGTAGTCAGCAGTTATCTGTTGTCAATGCAGAAAAATTTCCAAAGCACAGTGACAGTCATGGTTCAACTGACTGCGTTTTTCCTCCCTCTCCTATCCTATGAAAGGCCAGATTCAGTAGTTTCCAAAGGACCGCTTTAAAATAGTCTGAAACAACAGTAGTTAAGGTTCTTCTGTAAAGTACAGGAAATCCTCTATGACTCTGTCTTAATAGCAGTAGGGTCAAAATAGAAATTTGAGGCCGATGTTCATAGTCTTCAGTGATTGGAACTTTTATGCAATAATTAAAGTGATTTAGGTTGCTGCTGTAATAAGTTTTTCCATACCCTCAAACTGTTGTCCCTTCTCCCCTACACTGAGTATCCCTCCATCCAGTTTACTGCACTGGTTGACTGCCTCTTTTTCTGTCTCTTTTTTTATATTTCTGCAAGGGCTCCCAATAAAACAGTGCATGATGAGAAGCAGTAGCCTTTGATCTACATGTTACAGCTGTGTAATGGCTTTTTGTCTGTTTTTCATTAAGACAAAACATGCAATTGACTTTTTTTTTTAGTTGCTGGTGACACTGAGCACTCAGGACCAGGGTTTTTTATTTCTTTGGGTTTGTTTGCATTTTTGGTCAGGCAATTTCTTCAGCACCATCACTATCTTCAGCCTAGGAAACAGCAGTGCCTTGCACACAGGCTTTTCTGAATGCTTTCTGTCCTGCCAAACTGCTGAAGACATGAAAGAGGTGTGGGTGGTCAGTAGAACCCCAGCAAGTTTTTGAAAATGGGGCAGTTAATTTCTGGAAAAAACTTTTTTAAAAAAAAGTGCAGCAATGTAGTTAAACTGTGGTTTGTCTCCTCTCCCAGCTGTCACCTAAAGCTCAGTTCTGCCATCCTCCACTGTTGCACTCATAGGCTTATTGGTTGGTTGTTGTAAGGAGCTCCTCTTGTGTCAAGACTTTCAAGTCAGCTTCTGAAACAGAATTGTTTTATTCATTTCTAAACCAGCATCACTTTTCCTAATTACTTGCTGAATAGAGAGCGATATGTCAGAATCTGAATGTGAATATTCAGAGCCCCCAGCAGTAAATATTCTCTGGTACACTTTTTCAAAGATTTGAGCAAGTCGTGTGTGTTACACAGGGAAACATTACCCAGATTTGTGAGATCGCTGGCAGGGTAGGACCCAAGTGATAAATACAATCACATCCCCCTCTGGTGGCAAAGCAGCAGAGCTCACTGGTGTGTGGTCTGTGCCCAAACCTGGCTGCAGTTAGACCGTATCTGAGGGAGGCCCAGACCTCAAGAAAAGCCTCTTGCACTAATTCAGGATGCTAAATTATCTCATTCAGCTACAGTATGTCACGTCATTCCTGGGTCATCCCACGTGACATATTTTCATCACATTGTATGATGTACAATTCTGGTGCTGACAAAGTGAAAGGGGAGGACTAGGGACAGCAACTTCCTTAATTTTTAAATACATATCAATGGCAATTAATTAGCATAAACAGATGCTGCTTTAAGCAGAACTCCATTTTTCCATGCAAAATCAGTGTCAGAAAAGTCCTTTACTTCTAGTCAGACAGAATTTTTTAAACATTTCAATAACCACCATCCTTAATTTGTCAACCGGAATAACAGAGAAAAAGCGAAGAGATAGGGGATTAAAACATTTTTAAGTTATTTTTTAAGGACTAGTGGTTGAATTTTAACTGGAATCTTTAAAGGCCATTTCCATAATGCATCGCTGCAGTCCCTGATCAATGGTTTTAATTATACTGGTTCTAAACACATTTCTCTCTTCAATGAATTTCTGAAAGAGGTAGATACCACCACCAACCCCAAAATAATGCACTTTGCTTGCCAAATACACACGGCCCTTTTTATCCAAGAGCTGAGCCAGCGTATCATGCAAAGCACTGTAATAATCAGGATTATAGATGGTCTCAGATGTGAGAATTATATCATACTTTGAAAAGGGTTTGTTGCTGCTTAACAGGAGCTGGGTGACTTCAGACCACTCTCCAGAAAAAAATCTGCATTTGGTGAGCACATCAGGTGAGCCCTCTGCTTTCCTGGGCCTCTTGGCAGGAGGTTTGCTGGCTTTTCTGTCCTTTCCACTAGTGCCTTCATTTACACAGTTGGCCACCACATTAGGCAAGGTTATTTCCTCAATCACTGTGCTGTTGTAGTCCTGAAAATGGACTCTTTCAGCTTTACCTTTCAAGGCAACTATTCCCAGCAATCCAGCCCCGCAGCCAAGATCCAATACAGTCCTGTCGGTAAAATGTATTTCAGCCTCAGAAAAGTAGTCCATGAGATCAAAGGTGCATTCCCAGATTTTCAGTCCTCCTTCATAGACTCCTGGGATGAGATCAGAGTGAGAAGAGACACTTTTGGACACGATGCCTTCGCTGTCTGCATCACCCGAACATGTCGTTTCCAGCACAGACACCTTTACATGATACAGGTCCAATACTGTTTCCATTACTTTGTTTTCCAATATTTTGTTGAGATCTCCAGGTATAATGTGCTCCTTGGCAGCTTTCACGCAGTGCTTTGTCTTTGGTGCCTCATCCTGGTGCTTTGCAGCACCTGGCCTTGGGATGGAGTCTGCTCCAGCATCGGCAGTTTTCCTGCTCTGTTCCACAGGTTCCTGCTTGTGTTTTGGACAGCCCAGCAGTAAGAAGTGAGTGTCTGCTTCACTGTTCTCATTTTCATCAATATCAAAATTAAATCGAAAATCCATTTTCAGGAAGAACAGTTTAAAAATGTCAGCTTAATTTATTACAGCCAGAAACACTCATTTAAGAGCAAGGCTGATACAAAGGTGGTCTTTTCTTTTTTTCTTCTGGCTTTTGTCTTTTTGTAGGGGATATTTTTATGTCAATACTGCTGTGGGAAAGAGTACTTCGTACTTTGCAGGTGGTGTATCAGATGTTTTCCCAATAGCCAGGTGAATTACTGCTGGAAACAGAGTAAATAGTTTTACATATCATCAATATCAGCACAAACAGTCTAATTGTAGCATCCTGATTTTCATTAAAAGGCTGCCCAGGGAGGTAGTGGAGTCTCCCTCTCTGGAGACGTTCTCAGCCCCCTGGACATGTTCCTGTGTCCCCTGCTCTAGGTGACCATGCTTTGGCAAGGGGGTTGGATTGGATGATTTTCCTTCCAACCCCAAAAATTCTGTGATTAAAACCCCCACCCTGTAACCATTTAAATTTTAGAAAACGCAGCGTTACGGGGACCACATCTGTCACATAATACAAATACAGGGAAATTAAATGATCACAGACTGAGCACAGCCGGCAATTCCGGTAAAACCCACATTCCAGACTCAGCGTCCCAAGCAGCGCAAACTCCCCGCGCAGGGCGGCCCCGCCGCCCTTCCCCGGAGCCCGGCTGAGGCAGCAGGCCGGCTCCCCTCCCGGTTTTCCCTGCCCGGTGCCGGTACCGACCCGCGGGTGCCGGGCGGGATCTCCCTCCGCTTCTCCCACGTGGAGCCGCTTCCGCTTCCTGACGCGCGGCGCGCGGGGGCTCCTGGGATGGCGGGAGAACTTTCCCGCCGAGCCCGTTCCTGAGGGGAGCGCGGCCACCATGTCCCAGACGGACCCCGAGCTGCTCCTGCGGGAACTGGGCGGCTGGGACTGGGAGCTGTGCCGCCGGGAGCTGCCCGCCGTCCTGCCCCGGCTCCTCATATCCTTCCCGGCGGGGCCGCGGGAGGGGGGGGGGGGGGGGGCGGGCTCATCCTTCAGTCTCCCGCGGTCCGGGCGAGTAAACCTGAGGGGGGGAAAGCGGTGGGACCTTGTGAGGGGCTGACACGGGATAGGAAAGCCGTGTGCCGGGTGTTTCGCTGCAAACAGCCCTTCCCTGAAATAAAAGATTAGAAAATAGCGTGTGGTTCATCCAGCGCTGTAGATTAACAATTCCCTCTTCCCCCTGCCCCCCCCCAAAAAAACCCCAAACCCACACACCACTAAAAAAAAACCCCAAAACCACCAAAACAAAACCCCCTCAAGACTTACTCTCTAATACATTTTAGAAACACTTTTCTGATCATATGGGGACTCAGCGATATCAGCCTGCGTTGGTTAAGAAGCATCCCCTCCATATGAACATGAGACAGGGTGAGAAGTCACTGTGATTTCTGCAAGTGCTTTAAAGATAAGCTTTATAGCAGAACAAGTTTGATTTTCTTTAACGTTTTTACTCAATGTATCAAGAGTGTGAAGACTGGACTGAGCATATTCGTAAGTAGTGGCTAAGAAGTGCCTCTTCCTACAGATCATTGTATTGCAATTGCCTTATAAACTCTGCACTACTTAAAAACACTTAAGCTACAACCGGTGACTTTCAGAGTCTTCAGCAATCCTGCTGGACCTTGCATGTTCTACAAATTGCATGTTGAATAAGCTTTATAAAAGCCCATAAAGAAGTTCTGCATGTAAGGCTGCTTTTTCCTTCCTGTTACTTCTGATTTTTAAATATGTGAAAGAAGGGTGCGTTTTATCTTGTGTTTTTGTTGTCTTTTTGGCTGTTATCTTACAGGTGACAAAGCTCTTGTGATAGCTAATAGTGAAAAGAAAATGAGGCTCATTTGTAACTGTTTAAGAGTCTTGCTAAAATTCGCGGTTACATTGTATATTAGTGCCAACCAGCACATTAAACGTGCAGCTACTTGGCAACTGGAATGTGGAAAGTACTAGATCCATAGGCAAACAGTTGTGCTCAGCCTTCAACTGAGCTGAGTCAGGTCTGATGCTCTTTTTGATGTTTTTGTGCATGTTGGAGCTGTTACTGTTACTTGATTTTTCAGATGATGTACGTGTGCTTTCATGCATTTCAGATAAGGCAAATGTTATGTTGCCTCTCTCAAAATCAAGTACCTGATCTGGTTTTGCTTGATGCAGTTCTATGTTTCCTCTGGTAGGTAGCTGCGTAGTTCTGATAATCACACATTGTTTTTTCTGAAATGTTTAAATGCTTTTCTTTACAGGTGTTCTGAGGATCCTGACTGAAATGTTTTTGCCCCATATCAGCCTTGAAGATTTGGAACAAACTTTTTTCTCCAAAGTATTGCCTAAGGTAGGACAGCTTCAGTTAACTGTGGAATTGTCAGTTGGTCCAGTGCTAAAAACTGCTTATAATGCAGTGATTCTTTCTTGAAATTGCACAATATAGTTATTGTGTAGGATACAAAATTCAAAATTAAAATTTTACCCTTTAAGAGTTTTCACAATTTTGTGTTGGATTGTTTCTGTGATTGTTCTCATTCTTTACAGTAGGGAGAGATTTAAATATACAATATTCTTTCTGTATTCAGCAAGAGTTTTGGGGCTTATTTCTTTTTGAGAAGATTGGTCTTTTTATAAAATGTCCCAGGTGGAGAATTTTTATGTGAGGTAGCTTCTCAGGACAAGTAAACTGAAGAACCCAACACTTGTGTATCATGAATAAATGTTGTGAAACTTGTGAATTAATATAGTGAATGAACTCTCAGACCGTACTGGCCTAACATATGTTCTCTTTTTTGATGAAACAATGGAGATTTTTTGGCTGTAGTTTTATTAAAATTCTTGAGTGCTTGCATTTTAAGTGAAGTAAAGCAGTGCCAAATTACTGATTTAGGCCTCAGCTTGTCCATTTTAAGAAGCCAGTAAAAATGGCCATTTGATTTCCATTTCTCTTGTTTTATGTCAAGTAACAAATTTTGGAGATTACAAGAAAAATGTGTAATAATAGGCATATCCTGTTTATCTTGTACGTGCCTGGAAGCATCTCACTGTCTTTGCAGTGAAAACAGTAGTTTTGGTCCTTGGACATTTGATGAGTGTTAAAGTACAAATTAACATTGTTTGAAGATCATAGACCTTTTGATGTATTCAAAAGGTTAATGATCATTCTCAACAAATAAACAATTTTTCTGAGACAAAACGAAAATCCTTTTAAAATTACGGGGGTTTAACCCCATAATTAAAGTAAAAAAGTCTTTGGTAGAAAGAGGTTTAGCTGGGAAGTTTATTTCCTAACATACTTTACAAAAAGTAACAGCTTATGTCTATAATTTGGGAAAACCATACAGGTTGTGCTTCTTAGTACATCATGTTTTGTGACTGAAATGCTGGAAAGCGTTAAGTTCTCCTGGGAGTTCTCTCTGTAGCCTGTGCTTCCATAGCAAGGAAGCAAGCAGATACAGAACAGTGTTGCTATTTGCATGTGTACCTTCATAAATAAAAGGTTTAAGTTTTGTTTCCTTCTGACAGACTCTACAGCTCTTTGATAACTTGATGTATGAGTTATCCAGTGAGGCCAAGGGGTTAACCAGCCACAGCACAGAGTTATGCAGTACTGTAAGGAATCTGCTGCAGGCAAGTCCTGTTCTTGTCAAAGGGATGTTTACATCATTCTTTGCTTTTACCTGAACTATTGAGGGGTTTTTGGAATATTTTTGCCACCTACTGGTGGTTAAAATGTAATTTAATCTTCCTTTGTAGCTGAAATTCAGTTAACATTTTATGAATGATTTGATTGCATCTATCACCTGATGCTAATCATAATTTAAAAAATCATCTCAAATTCTGCTGCAGTTACTAACACAAATGGCATGTGATTCACTGTATTTAAAGAGTGAATCTGACACTTGTTTATACAGTCACTTAATTCTCAGTTTTAATATTTTTGGACACTCAGAACAGTAATCAAAGAAATACAAAGTTTTCACAGTACATACGGAATTGCTCAGTATTATTTTATGGCGCTTCATTCCTTTTTAACGAACTACTTATTTATGCAAATAGTGAACTTTAAATGCCATATAAATCCGGGTGCAATCCAGCAGGGAAAAGATGCTTTGGAGGTTATTGCAGGAGTGAAAACCATTGATTGCTGTTGTTTGTTCTTGCCTGAAGACTGTGGTGCAGCTGCTGGAAACCCTGACGGGCTGTGTGCGCTCCGTGTGCTCCGTGCAGGACTGTGTGCCCCTGGAGAGCGTCCGCTCCCTCCCTGCCTCTGTGCTCTACGTCATAAAGAACACCTTCACACACTGCAGGGTAGGTCTCTGTTGGAAGGAGAAGCATCCTTATGCTCCTTGGGGTTTAGGAAACACTCACTTTGTAAGAAGATCCTATTTTGAAATAATATTGTTGTCGAACTCTTTTAATTTAAATTTTGCTGTTAAATGGTTCACTTATTGCGCAAGTCCAGAGATGATTTTTCAGCTGTGTGCCCAGCAAATATGACCTGGTGGTGAGAGGCTCAGACTGTGCCATTTCCATATTTTGCATCAGTGTTCACTGAACATTTTGCTCTGTGAGATCTGTGCACTCCTAATGGCTGCAGGATTTTCAGAGCTATCAGTGGTTACCAGCATGGTGTGACTTACCTTATTTCTATGCAAGTTCCAGAGTGGATTGAAAATGGAGATTGGCATCTCTATGTTGCTTACAAGTAACATCTGTCATTTTCAGATCTGGACTTTCAGATGCAACAGTAATTCCCTCTAAGCAGTGAAAATAAAACCAGGTTATCATAAGGACACGGGAGCTTTTAGTTGCCTTTCATTTTCACTTTCATTCTGTCTTTCTTTTTTTACATCAGTTTTCCATGTCAGGACTTAAACTCAGGTGCCACACCTTTATCTAACAATTTTGATTTGAAAGTACTGGGAAATATTTGGAATGTTGCTTCCTTTGTTGCTAACATTGTATTGTATTGTATTGTCAAATATGATCTTAGGTTTGTCCGTGGAAGTTTATCATATGATCTTAAGTTCACCTGTGGAGGCCTAACCCAGAACCCCCTAAATTCACTAGAGCCAGGCAGACCTCATTCGTTGTCAATGAGGCTGCAGGTGACTGACATTTTATATTTAGTGATCAGGGAGTGGGAGCAGAAACTGTATATTGAGTTAAAGTAGGTACATCTGTGCCTTGTTCTTTTTTTCCCAGGGAAATGTATGACAAAGCTCTTGGTGTTTTTAGCATGTGAAAAATCAGGCTGTGATTCCTGAACTTCTTTTTAAACCTCGTTTCCCATTTTCTGCAGGATAGTGAATCAGTGTACTGTGGGCACCTGCACTTGATTTCTGACCTCCTACAAGCTGTGTTCAAGGAAACTTACTCCCTTCAGAAGCAGCTGATGGAACTAGTTGATATGATTTCCATGGGCTCTGCATCCACTGAAGATAACATCACAGATATAGTGTCAAGTATATGTGGATTTAACACTTTTTCAGTCTTGCTTAGTCATTTTTTTCTATAGAGTATGTTTGAATTCTTAAAACAGATTTCTGAGCGTGCTCAGTTCCTGCTGTCCTGACCAGCCTTTCAAAAAGCAGAATTTTGAAGCTTGAAATATTTCTGTTCTCCTGAAACTTCCTCTGTGGGATGGGGCATGTTGTGTAGGTTTGTAGGATAGGGGCAGCACCTAAACACTGAGCCATTTTCCCAATTCAGTGTCAGTGTGTTGGTATTCTCTTAGTGCTTGGGATTGCTGTGAACTCCTAAATCTGATTTAACTCTTGTTGTTATTCTTTCCTCAGTGATCCACACTGTGCTGGAGATATGCTCTGT